AACTCATGTTTCTTCTTTCTTTCAGGGTTCAATTTTGGGCAAGAAATCTTAGCAGTACATCTGGAAGTTGGCCGCCATATTGACTAAGCTGTAACTGGCCCTTGTAAACAACAACAACAACAACAACAACAACAAAACAACAGCTGGTCAGTCATTCTGGGATTTTTTTTTCTCTCCTTTCTTTTTTTTGAGAGATTTTATCTCCCTATCTACTGATTGATGCTTATAATGTTTTTTTGTTGGTGATTTTGTTTTGGTTATCCTCATAAATGTGAGGAAAGTGCTTGCAGGTTCACATTTTTTTCACATTGAGAAAATAAGATTTTGTTGGGATATTTTTAACCTGGAGAGTTGCCACCCAGGATAACCCAGGGTAGGGTGGGTTAGCCACCCAGGGTAGGGAGGGTTAGCCACCCAGGGTAGGGAGGGTTAGCCACTAAGGATAACCCAGGGTAGGGAGGGTTAGCCACCCAGGATAACCCAGGGTAGGGAGGGTTAGCCACTAAGGATAACCCAGGGTAGGGTGGGTTAGCCACCCAGGGTAGGGAGGGTTAGCCACTAAGGATAACCCAGGGTAGGGAGGGTTAGCCACCAGGATAACCCAGGGTAGGGAGGGTTAGCCACCCAGGATAACCCAGGGTAGGGTGGGATAGCCACCCAGGATAACCCAGGGTAGGGTGGGATAGCCACCCGGGGTAGGGAGGGTTAGCCTCCCAGGATAACCCAGGTTGTTAGGTAAGACACATATGCAACAGTTAGGTATCTTTATTTCGAAACGTTTCGCCTACACAGTAGGCTTCTTCAGTTGAGTACAGAAAAGTTGATAGAAGCAGAAGATACTTGAAGACGATGTAATCAGTCCATCACCCTTAAAGTTTTGAGGTGGTCAGTCCCTCAGTCTGGAGAAGAGCATTGTTCCATAGTACTCTTCTCTAGACTGAGGGACTGACCACCTCAAAACTTCAAGGGTGATCGACTGATTACATTGTTTTCAAGTCTACTGTGTAGGCGAAACGTTTCGAAATAAAGATACCTAACTGTTGCATATGTGTCTTACCTATCACCCTGTTGGTATTTTATACCATTTTAATGTTCATAACCCAGTGTAGTGAGGGTTAGCCACTCAGGATAACCCAGGGTAGGGTGGGATAGCCAACCAGGATAACCCAAAAAAGCCAATGACTTCTTTGTGTAACTGTATTTGTGTGTACGTAAATATCCTCAATATCTTCATTTCTACAAGTACATATACAAGGTTTACAGACCATAGCTGACATCAGTGACATACATTGGACCCTCGGGTAATGACATTAATCCGTTCCAGAGAGCTCGTCTTCAACCGATTTTTTCGTTATCCGAATTAATTTTCCCCATAAGAAATAATGGAAATCCAATTAATCCGTTCCAGACACCCAAAAGTATTAAACAAAATATTTTTTTTATATGAAATATACATTTCCCTACATAGAAAACAATGAGACATGCAGAATGAGCAATACTGAAGTGACACTTACCTTTATTGAAGATGTATTGATGAGTGATGAGATGGGAGAGGATGGAAGAGTTTACAATTATTTGGAAGGGGAATCCACTTCCATAAAGACTTCAGCTAACAAGTCCTTTTCTGGGGTTACCTCCCTTTTTTTGTTTTTTTAATGCCACTAGGACCAGCTTGAGAGTCACTGGACCCCTGTCGCACCAAAAATCTGTCCAGAGAGCTCTGTTTCTGCGTCTCTGTAAGATTTCCCTAAAATGGGACACAACATTGTCATTGTAGATGCTGCCAGCACGGCCTGCAACAGCTGTGTCAGGGTGATGTTCATCCATAAATGTTTGCACAGAAGAAAGCAAGAACACTGCAGCAGGCCTGATGGCCCACACTAGGCAAGTCCTTCACAAACCATCCCACTAACAGAATCGTATTTGCCCAGCCTAATTTTCAGTGCTTCCCAAGCAATAAGCTTTGATAATTCTATTCATTCATGTGCAAGTCCCACTCAAATCAAATCGTGTGTGTGGGGAAGTACGTACCCTGGCTGTTATGTGGGGAAGTACCCTGGCTGGTGTGTGGGAAGTACCCTGGCTGGTATGTGGGGAAATACCCTGGCTGGTATGTGGGGAAGTACCCTGGCCGGTATGTGGGGAAGTACTCTGGTTGGTATGTGAGGAAGTTCCCTGGCTGGTGTGTGGGAAGTGCCCTGGCTGGTATATGAGGAAGTTCCTTGGCAGTCTGTGTATTATTGCTGTGAGAGGCCCAAAAATGACGTGTGGCGACCCGTTCGCATCACGACTTTCCCATTAGTATATTAAATTGAGGTTTCAGTGTCCACTGTACAAGAATGTTATAGTGACTACTGACCTGTTAGTAAAATTAATGTAGGAAAGTTTATTCTCCATTATTATGGTTTACAGCACATACTTATTGTTTTACAAACTTCAGTAGCTGTAATTTCTTCCTGCTGCACTATGACAAACTTGAGTAACTGTAATTTCTTTCTACAGATCTGTAGAAACTTCAGTATCTGGTTGAGGATACCCTGGGTCGTGGATGTGCTGAGTCAGTGGCATGGGTTCCAACCTGGGCTGTTGCTGGTAACGCATAGCGCCACCGCCTATTGATGCATGCGATCTATCCATCCCAGTTGTAGCCACATCGTCATCGCTTTTACTGTCTGTTCCGGCGTAGGGTCACGGGATGTACTCAATCCACCCGGAATTGCACGTGGCACTCTACCAGACCAAATGCAGCGTCGTATGAACTGATGCTTCACCAGTGAATATTCTTCCTTGCAGTCACTACTCGAATGGTCATCAAAAGCAAGAAAATCAAAATCCACGTCTTTGTCATCACTATTACTCAGACCTGAGGCCAGACCACAGGAAAATGCGAGCTTACGTTTACGGCAAGTGCAACCGAACGTGACCCAGATGGACCAGCACCAGAGGTGGAAGGTTGAGGGTTGTCGAGGCTTCGATCGCTATTTTCGATATTCCGAGTAGTATTGCTTTCGGTCACAGTTTGTTCGAAACCGTAGAATTCATCTTCGGATCATTTTCTTGTTAGAACTGTCACTTGGGAAGAGGGAGGAGATTCCCAGTTTGACAGGGATTGAGGGTTTTCCTACCGCGAGGTGTGGCGAACAACGGGTACCGAGATGGCGTTCCCACAGTGCACTGCAAGTGCCCTGATTTTTTGTTTACTGCATAAACTGACCATGCAGACCTTCTTTAGTATGTAGGCTTATGAGCCTTCTCATGCTAAATTTGAAGCCTCTAGAATTTTTTGCATAAGTACTATGGCACAGACAGTGAGTGATTTCAAAGGAATAGTATTATGGCACAGTCAGCAAAAGGGTTCAGCTAATTGTGTAGGTCTTGAAATCTGAATGGAAAAATGAGACCAGTAGCAAGATGTATTATTAGTGCTGTTGGGTACCAGGGTACTAGTGATGAAGTGCCTGGGTACTAGCAACACTGAGGTGTTTTTTAGGATGGTTTTTGCAGTTTTATTGGCTTTGATGCTATCAATTGATAGAGGGCAGCCTTACTACTGTTGCACTGAAGACGTAATTTTAAATTTGGTATAAATATATTTTTACTTTTGTAAATACAATATCATTTTCATTACAGGATTGTGTGGAGAAGTGAGGACCTATGGAGGTGACTGCTTGGTTAAACGACATGAGTATATGGTCAAGAACAATGGCAGGGAGGTTAATGCAAGGAATTGAACCTGTCATGAACAAGGCAGTGGTGCTGTATTGCCTGCACTTCCTGGTTTCAACTTAACCTTTATCCTTTTATACTCTGGGCTCTTAAACCAAGGAATTAGAACTAACTGCTTTACTTGGATTGAACCCTTAATGAAAGGTGTTTGTCTTGAGCCAAGGAATTGGAGCTCACCTCTTTTTTTTTTTCCTTGTGATTATTGCCTTCCAGTCCCATAAGGCACTGTACAACCTTCAGAAGTTTAGCTCCCATCCTGATAATGTAGTCCCCAATGGGTTTCCCATCTCTTTTTTTTCCCCCACTTCCTTTCTCAGTTCCTCTTAACCTTCACATTCCTATCCTTGCCCATCCTAATATAGGTGGAGTTGTGGACAGGGACAAGCATGTAAGTCTGTGAGAGGCAGTGCCTCACAGAGTGGAATAAGCCAGCAAGCATGTCTCCTACTGGTTCCCCAATGGACTACTCTTGGGGATTTCTCAAAGGGGGGTAGACCTCTCATCTACCTTGAGGGTCTATTAAGTGGCTGGTGGGGGGTACGAGTCCTCACCCGACAAGCCAGACTGACACTCTCTTCATAATGCTCGGGGATGACTCACTTTATGTTAGCAGACAAGCAGCAGCAGCACAGCGATCCTCACAGCATGTAAGACTGGTGGATCTTATTGGGCAACCAGAAGATCACTAACAGCCTGTAATCATCCTGCCCTCTCAACCATCTTAAGTCATTCTGTATAGAACATTAAAATGGTATAAAATACCGACAAGTTGTTAGGTAAGACACATATGCAACAGTTAGGTATCTTTATTTTGAAACGTTTCGCCTACACAGTAGGCTTCTTCAGTCGAGTACAGAAAAGTTGATAGAAGCAGAAGAGACTTGAAGACGATGTAATCAGTCCATCACCCTTAAAGATATGAGGTGGTCAGTCCCTCAGTCTGGAGAAGAGCATTGTTCCGAAGTCTGAAACAATATGAAGTTGAAAGGACAGAATGGAGCTTTATATAGCGCCAGGAGGTGAGATGTAGGTCGCTTTGGGAGGTCATTCTGTATACCTTACCTCTGATCAACCTGTAATCCTACCTGCACACCCATCCTAAGTCACTCCATATATTTTCCCTCTGATCTCTTCCTCATATTCTCTTGCCCTCATCTCTTCCTCTCTCCTTATCAACTCTCACCCTCATTTCTTCCCTGTGAGCAGTAAAATGTTAAGTTTTTTGAGAGAAATGCTGTGAATAGACTTGTGCGATTAAATTGTAATTTTCATTACAGGATTGTATGGACAAGAAGTGAGGATCCAGAGAGGTGACTGCATAGTTAAAAAAAAACCACTTCAGTACATAGTCAAAAACAAAGGTAAGTAGGTTCTTTAACCCCTGAGTGATCAGACCCCGAGTCTGAAGTGTCCACAATGCACAAGAAACTTCAAAAAAAAAAAAAATTCTTGTGAAATGGTAGAGAATCTTTTTCTAAAGGTAATAAACCCATAAGCATGAAATTTGATAGAAAATTGCTGAAATTACACAAATTTTGCTGTGTTTGTGTTTTTATGCATCAGCAATTTTGCCCACTTTGAGTCCTATTTGAAGCCAACTACATTGTTCCAGTCAACCAAATTCTTAGCTATCTTCCTTTTTATTGATTGAGCCCAAGAAACTACCCAATCAACTATTTCAGATACCCAAAAAAGTGATCAGAAATTGGTAATTTGGCCAATTTCATACAAATTTCAAAATAGGTTCCAGAATAAACAGTACAGACTTTCCTGGCACTAAAATAACAACATTTCCTCTGTTCATTAGTTATGTTCCCAGGCTTTACACATGAATTCCATTTTGAACTGGTAGACAGCAACCACCCAGGGGACTACTACTACTACTGGTACTACTACTGGTACTACTACTGGTACAACTACTGGTACTACTACTAGTACTACTACTGGTACTACTACTGGTACTACTACTGGTACTACTACTGGTACTACTACTGGTACTACTACTAGTACTACTACTAGTACTACTAGTACTACTACTGGTACTACTACTATTACTACTACTACTACTATTACTACTACTACTATTACTACTACTATTACTACTACTACTAGTACTACTACTACTACTACTACTACTACTACTACTACTACTACTACTACTACTACAACTACAACCACCACCACCACCCTGCCAGATGAGTGTAAGACAGAAACCTTTATTTGTCCTACTTGATGGGAGGAGTGCTGTTTTTTTTTTTTGTTGTTGTTGTTTGTTTGTTTTATAAACACAAGATAAGAGGTATATCATGGTAGTACTTTTACTTACAATTATGTCACAATACACATGTATGTATACATTTATGTATACACACTCATCTGAGTATTCTTTGGTTTTTCTTAATAGTTCTTGTTCTTATTTTCCTTTCTTACTCATGGGAAAGTGGAATAAGAATTGTTCCTCCATAATCCATGCGTGTCATAAAAGTCAACTATGCGAGACGTTCACCCGCTCTGCCTGTTGTATCCCAACAAGCGAGCATGTCTGATTCCTGTATTATCCAGGGCTTAACAAGAGGGTACATATAAAAATGAGAACAATGGCTATAGTTTACTTAACTCTTAAACTGTCCAAACAGATTTACATTCACATGCGTAGTGCTCCAAAAGTAGATGTATGGTTTTTTTTACGTATTTTTAAATATAACAAAAAAAAAAGTAGATCAATTTTTTTTTTTTACATGTTTTTAAAACGTGAAAAAAAAAATTCTACATTTTTTTGCATACTTTCAAATGTTGAAAAAAACGTAGATCTACGTTTGGACAGTTTAATGGTTAATAAAATAAAGAGAGGGAATACACCATTATCTTAGAGAATTACATAGTATAACAATTGACTTGTGAGACTTATTACCAGGAGGGGGTAGGAACGTTACCAGTAACACGGACTTGTACTCTCTCTCAATTCACCGACCAGCCCACCCGAGCTCCGCCCCAAGCGGCCCACTACACACTCTGGTGTCCACAGCTCCTACTCACAGGCCCTCTCTCTACCTCCCTAGTTGTTTCCTTGGCTTATATTGTCTTTTCTGCAACCCCCTTTAACCCCAGGTTTTGGGAGTCACCCTCCATGGGGCACAAAGGAACGGCACCAGGAGTCTTGCTGTGCCAAGGCAAGGGGTGTGACAATTTACACTGGTCATTCAAGTAAATTTTTGACCTTACAAGCACAGTTGACCTACATTACAACTAAAATGCCAAGCTTACAGCTTACTAAAAATGAAAATAGAACCTTTAAGTTTGGATGTTTGTTCATGGATGTAGTACACATGACAAGATAGAGATTATTTTTTATTATTATTATTATTATTAACACACTGGCCGATTCCCACCAAGGCAGGGTGGCCCGAAAAAAGAAAAAATTTCACCATCATTCACTCCATCACTGTCTTGCCAGAAGGGTGCTTTACACTACAGTTTTTAAAACACCCTTCTGGCAAGACAGTGATGGAGATGATTGTGAATGTTATAAATGAAAAGAATTTGGATGTCCTGGCTCTTTGAAACAAAGGTGAAAGGGGTAGTAGGAGTGTTTCAGTGGGGAGAAATAATTGGGATTAGGTCAGGAGTTTCCAATAGTTAGAGCTAAGGAATGTGTAAAGTAAAAGGACACAAGTGCAACTAATGTGACATTTTTATTGTGGCAACATTTCGCTCTCCAGGAGCTTTGTCAAGCCATTACAAACAATACATGGACACAGAGGGTATATATAGGCTCAGAGTGAGGTGTAATACTAGTGGTAGTAGTAGTAGTAGTGATATAAGTTATAGTAGTAATACAGTATGGTAGAACAATTAACTCGTACATGAGTAAAAGGATATAAAAGCTATTACTTGGGTAACATCAAAATAGGTTAGACAAATATTTCTATTGTGTTTACTTATAGTATGAAGGGAGCAGAGAAAGCCATTATCATGCCTAGGCATTTCAGGCAGACTTTACCTAATACTTATAGACTACTATTTTCTAGACAGGTGAAGAGTGGAAGAATACAAACAGTCAATCTTCACTCTATTGTTAATATGAGGCAGTACAATTTATGACAATCTTACATTTTTAAGTACAAAATTAGCTTCTTGTACAGTGGTAGAATACAAATGTTATATATTTCAATTTTATTATTAATATGAGGTAGTACAATTTATGATAGCCAGTTTGTGATACAGTCAATCATACATTTTTAAGTTTGTAATTAAGTTCATAGGTAGTAGGTTGGTAGAAAGCAACCGCCCAGGGAGGTACTACTGTCCTGCCAAATGAGTGTAGAATGAAAGCCTGTACTTGTTTTACACGATGGTAGGATTGCTGGTGTCTTTTGTCCGTCTCATAAATATGTGAGATTCCAGGTACGTCTTGCTACTTGTACTTAAACTTAGGTGACACTACACATACATGTACAAGCATATATATACACATCCCTCTGGGTTTTCTTGTATTTTCTTTCTAGTTCTTGTTTATTTCCTCTTATCTCCATGGGGAAGTGGAACAGAATTCTTCCTCCGTAAGCCATGCGTGTCATAAGAAGCGACTAAAATGCCGGGAGCAAGGGGCTAGTAACCCTTTCTCTTGTATAAATTTTTTTTTGTTTTGTTTTTTTCAACAAGTCGGTCGTCTCCCACCGAGGCAGGGTGACCCGAAAAAGAAAGAAAATCCCCAAAAAGAAAATACTTTCATCATCATTCAACACTTTCACCACACTCACACATTATCACTGCTTTTGCAGAGGTGCTCAGAATACAACAGTTTAGAAGCATATACGTATAAAGATACACAACATATCCCTCCAAACTGCCAATATCCCAAACCCCTCCTTTAAAGTGCAGGCATTGTACTTCCCATTTCCAGGACTCAAGTCCGACTATAAGAAAATAACCGGTTTCCCTGAATCCCTTCACTAAATATTACCATGCTCACACTCCAACAGATCGTCAGGTCCCAAGTATCATTCGTCTCCATTCACTCCTATCTAACACGCTCATGCACGCTTGCTGGAAGTCCAAGCCCCTCGCCCACAAAACCTCCTTTACCCCCTCTTTCCAACCCTTTAGATAACGTTTTTTGACTCCACATATACCTCAACGCACCTCACTCACCTTTTTTCCCTCATCAATTCTATGATTAACCTCATCCTTCATAAATCCATCCGGCGACACGTCAACTCCCAAGTATCTGAAAACATTCACTTCTTCCATACTCCTCCTCCCCAATTTGATATCCAATTTTTCTTTATCTAAATCATTTGATGCCCTCATCACCTTACTCTTTTCTATGTTCACTTTCAACTTTCTACCTTTACACACATTCTCAAACTCATCCACTAACCTTTGCAATTTTTCTTTAGAATCTCCCATAAGCACAGTATCATCAGCAAAAAGTAACTGTGTCAATTCCCATTTTGAATTTGATTCCCCATAATTTAATCCCCCCCCCTCTCCCGAACCCCCTTAGCTTTTACTTCTTTTAAACCCCATCTATAAATAAATTAAACAACCATGGGAAATTCCCACTTCCTGTCGGGACCTATTTTTAAACCCCGGGGAAAAGTATTCCCCCCTCCTTCTACAACCCTAACCTGACCCTCCCTACCTCATAAAAGTTTTTTTTTACCCTTTTAGAAAACTTACCCCCCTATTCCAAAAATTTAAACCATCTCCCCATTGCTCCTCTACCCCATCATCATATGCCTTTTCTAAATCCTAAATGAAATTTTAAAAATTTCCCCTACCTTTATCTAAATACGGTTCACATATTTTGCTTAAATTTAAAACATTTGATCTACACACCCCCCTTCCCACTTGAAGCCTCCTTGTTTCATCCGAAATTTCTACATTCTGTCTTACCTCTAATTTTTTTTTTTTAAATTAAAACCTTTACCCGTATACTTTTCCTGGTAACTCAGTAAACTTTTTTCCTCTATAATTTTTAAAATCTTTTTGCCCCCTTTTCCCTTTATAAAAGGGATTTTTAAGGTTTTCCCCGGCCAATCCCTGGGTACCTTCCCCTTTTTTCAACATTTTTTAAAAACAAAAGTACCAACCATCCAACACTGTTTTCCCCCCCTGTTTTTAAACATTTCAAATCATATCCCACCCTTCCCAGCTGTTTTAAAAACCCCCCTTTCATTTACTAATGCCTCACGTACCTCCACCACACTTAAATTCGCCCCTTCTTCACCCCCTAAAAGAGGGTTACCTCCCGGGCCCAGTGCAAAAATTTACCCACCCCCTTTTCTTCCTCAACTTTTTAAAATTTCCCCTCAAAAATTTTTCTCGAAAACACCAAATTCCCTCCCTCCCCCCATCT